TTATGAGGATCATTATTTCCTTTATATCGAGGTGTTTCACACTGAAGGCTTTAGTCTTAAATCTTCATCAGTAAATGCTTCAGGTCTTCTTCACTTTTGGTAAGAAAGACTGTGCCATCTGCATATCACAGGTTGTTAATGAGTCTTCCTCCAATCCTGATTTCATGTTATTTTTCATATACTTCAACTTCTCGGATTATCTGCTCAGCATACAGAGTAAGTATGGCGAAAGGATACAATGCACATCTTTCTTGATTTTAAACCATGCAGTAGCTCCTTGTTCTGTTCAAATGACAGTCTCCTACTTTATGTACAAGTTCCTAAAGAGCGAAGTTAAGTGTTCTGGAATTCCCATTCTTCACAATATTATCCATAATTTGTTAGCATCCACACTGTTGAATGCCTCTGTATAGCCAATAGAACACAGGTAAACATCTTTCTGGTATTCTCAGCTTTTAGTCAAGATCCATTTCACATCAGCAATGATATCCCTTGTTCCACGTCCTCTTCTGAATCCTGCTTGGATTTCTGGCAAAAGTTCCCTTTTGATGTACTGCTACAACTGTTTTTTAATTATCTTCAGCAAAATTTGTACTCCCAAAGTGTACAACATATTATTTAATAGCTTTTTCAATATTATTATATCATGTCTTAAAAAAAAAAAAAAAAAGATTTCAAGTGGCTAAATAATATCACAAACAAAACAGTTAAAAAAAAAAAAAGACAAAAGATCAAGGCTTACATATCATTTTAATCTGGGTGCTCAAAGCTGAAAAAAATGTGATGAGCCCACCCATCCTAAGCAGAGGTACTGGATTGTCTATGTAGAACTTGCTAAAGTGAGACTCCAAAAACAGGTCTGGCCAGCTTTGGATGATCAATCACCTCAAAAACATTGAAGTAGAAATTTGAAACTTAAAACTTGAAGTTAAGGATTAGAAAGTGAAGATTTCTTTAAAGCGAGTGTTGTTAGATAGAATTCTTTCTTCTTATTTCCAAAATCAAGTGAAAGAGGCATCAGTAAATCAGTTAGAAATTTTGAAATGTGTCCTTGGAGCCCAAAGGACATATGGACTAGGACTTGAATCACATCTGCAAAAGTCTAACACCTAGAGAGGGTGGCTGGGGTTCCTTGGGTAGTAGGACAAAAAGGTCAGACTCTTCCCTGTGTCTGGCCACCATTTCCAGAACTTGGCAAAGATGTGTATGAGTTTCTTGAGGACCACATGATAACTCTGAAGAAAGAAGCAAGAGGTGAGTCATCTTCCAAGAGAGCTGTCTAGAAGTTACCAGGGAAATTCAGGGGTTGTGGAAGATAATAAGGAGCCAGTGTGAAGAGGCATTGCTGGCATTAGAGCCTGGACCTTCTTCTCTAATGGATGGATGGCCTGGCTGATGTAGTCCCCTAATACAACCTCACCACAGTCACTTTTATTTAATATTTGAAAATAGTCTTTAATAGGATAAAAATACTTCTGGAGCCTTCATACTCATCCTACCTTGACTTCTCACTTATCCTATTTTTTAATGAATTACATGTTTTAAGGTACATTACATGTTTAAAAATTGCTTTAAAGGAATGTGGCTCTAAGTAATAGCCTTTTCGGTCTGACAACAAACACACTTATAAATATATTTTTCCCCTTTTCATTCTAACTTGAAAATAATAAGGAAAGGAATGTCTTTCAAGAGTAAAACATTTTCAGAGCCCTGATGGCACAGTGGTTAAAGCACTTGGCTGCTAACTGAAAGGTCAGTTGTTCAAACATACCAGCTGCTCTGTGGAAGAAAGATGTGGCAGTCTACTTCCATAAAGATTTTTTTTTTTTAAAGAGTAAAACATTTTCTTCCCATATTTATGAAGGAGAACACAATAATGATTATTCCTATAGTAATTACACTTTAAAATGGAATTTTCTCCTTTGAAATCACCTTATCCTATAATCAGAAATCAATTTTTACCTTATAAAATGAACATAATTATTTTAGAACCCCTTCTTGCTTACAAGAACACTGTGAACTTTCAGTATCAAAGATTACTGAGCAAATATAATTTACCTAATAAGATTTCCTATTACTTCGTTCCACAATCAACACCAATGGAAGGAGTAGTCATACTGAGCAAACACAATTTAACTAATAATTTTCTATAATAATTTAACTAATAAGATTTCAGGAGCTCTGGTAGCATAGTGGCTAAGGCACCTGACTGCTAACCAGAAGGCTGGCAGTTCAAATCCACCAGCCACTCCTCGGAAGGAAGATGGGGCAATCTACTTC